CCACTTTTACATTGTTTCTTATCCAGCTCACGACGAACACACCCCATCTTTCCACTTGCACATTGCTCCATTTAGCATAAATACTTCCAAATGATCCGTATACCTGCACCAAGCATCAAGATAGGACATGTTTATGCTAAAAGGAACCGAAGACGAATGGGAAAGAAGGAGTGTGCTCATTAGTTGAGGGGTGTAAGAATGAATGAGAACTATAAGGCGCCGCGCCGGTGACGTCAGGGTCGGGACCGGCACCGGGGATGGCGAGATCGACGCTGACTACCTTTAACTCATGAGCCCTGTCCACAACGCTCTCGTCACATGCCCACGGCTCATGAGTTAGCATATTTTGCCGCTTAGTTTTTTTTTTTTTTTATTTTATGTCAAACCTCACTTTTCCATTCTCCCGAAAGGAATCACACCCACCTTAACATTGGTTTTCATACGCAGCTCAAACGAGCTCAACCCATCATTTCCACCCAAATGTAGTTCCTTATAGCATGAATACTGTGAATACTGTGAATGTTTTTTTCAACGTCGGATACAGCGAAAACATTGAAAATGTTCAATTCAAACCATACGTAAGAAGTAACTTAATTTTCGTTAATTTAAACTCCTAGCTGGGCAAAAAACTACAGAAACAAATCGGATGCTAGTTTGCTTTGAAATGAAGTAATTTCTTCATTATGCTGGACAGTTCTCGGCGCGGAAGGTACTTTTTCAGGAACTCATTTCGAGCCATTTGTTGAAGGATGATTTTGAATTCCTTTGGGGACAACCTGGATTTATTTCGCAGAAAACGCTCAATTAAAGCCGTTTTAAAGCCGTAATAAACCGTTTTTTTTTTGGAGCGGTATAAAAGCTGCGGTCAATCCATCACGAACCGGAGTTTCTGCGAATGAGCTAAACGCGAGGAGGGCCCGCGGGGGTGGGAGAGGTGGGTGGACAGCCCATGATTACTGCCCTCGGTCTCCGATCTACAAAGATTCGTGTCGGCCCTACGTTCTAGTCTCATCTGCCGCTGACGCCCGCGTATCTACAAATCATGATGCGATCCTTCCGCGTTTGAACGTTTAACAATCGTTTTTCCTATGCTTCGCCGCACAGTGGCATTCCACTTCGCTATTACAATGGAAGAGGTCGCACACGAAATCGAATCAGTGAGAACGAAAACACACCAACTCGGAAAGATGAAAATTATCAAGACACACACAAAACTGCACAGTAGGTAAAGAAGTTAGCCAAGAAGAAGATTTTCGGTTTCGAAGGACAAGTACTAAAGGCTTCTTTAAAGGTCCAAGCTGGAACAGATGCGCTAACTTCAATAACCATTGTGAGAATTGACTGTCTTTAATGAAAATTAAGCATTTTCGAGTTACAGAGATGGTGTGTTTTCGTTCTCACTGATTCAATTGTGGACAATAACTGCTAATGTTCAAGTTTGTTTCCTCAAATTTCAAATTCCAAGGAGTATTCGGTAGGCATTTTTACAAAAAACAATGCAATGAAACCACTTGTAAAACCTCAAATTTGTTTTCAACGGAGTCATAAGCATTTAAAGTTTCCTCATTGTGACCAACCTTTTGCATTGATTCAAGCCATACTGTGCGCCGATGACGCCAGGGAGGCAGGCGGTTCCTAGCCTCTTTATCCGAAACTTCGCGAGCTTTTACGTTCAGCTCGGTTATAGAAAAACAAAGAAAAGAAAAAAATAAATCCTGAAAAAAGTAGATGATCAGGGTAGATCTGGTTATAACCCATATCCCCCCCCCCCCCNAATCATCATTCAGATCCATGTTAAGGCCAGTATTAGACCCAGTAAGAGAATCACGGCGTAGGCTTTTGAATTTCAACATCGATGGATGAATTCGGGCACGAACTCAATAGTACAATATTTTTTCCAACTTATTTCTGCATCGGATACAATTCATTTTAATATTTTCTCCCGAAAATTAGAATATAGAGTCACTAACCAACATGCTCACGCCGATCTTAGCTTCCATTTTAATCGTTAAAAAAAAAACTTGGTAACAGAAGTAAACGCGGGCTCATGCCAGCCTGGCCTGATACAACGCTTTGGACGATACAACTATTCCAGCTCCAGTGTAAGCAATGGTTGCGTCACGGCAAATTGAAGGCGATTTGGCCGCGTCGTCGTCGCTCGGTCCCGGGTCCCATAGCATAGCAGAGGAGGAGAGGCGGTTCATGATAATTTAAAATCTCTGCTTCTTTTTCATTATTTGAACGCTAATCATAATTGAAAGTTAAATATTCTGCGCGAGGCGCTGATAAAAATGTCCTCGTATCTTTTGCCAAGCTTGCCAAAAAATAAACGCAAGTCACATCAATTTTTTTCTTTTTTCGTGCAACTGTTGCGCCAGTGCTAGGGAGAACGGTTCTGCAAAGACATGACCTTAAAAAGCGGAGGATGGCAGAGTTAATGGAGGGTTAAGTGTATAAATAAGCCCGAAAACAAGTGAATCTTATCGCGGACAATGCGTCTAATCAGACGGTTTGTTGGCATAATCCGATAATAAAATTGAGAGGTCAGGCGTTTTTTTTTTTCAGCCCGACTGAAAGTGTCCGCTCGATTGAAAACAAAGAAAAAAGGAAGATAGTAAAATATAAAGCGCAATAACCCAGTCATGGCAGGAAACGGTAACTGCAGGCTAGTCAAGGTTGCCAGATTTATAGGTCATTTCATAAAATTGTTTTTGCCGAGTAAAATTTCCGAGGCTGGATTTTCATTGATGCTGTGGAGGTTAATAATGAAATAAGTTCAAGTAAGTTTCCCAAAATTTGTAAATGGCCTTTTGAACTTGAGTTGATTTTCTGGCTTTCATTTGTCATATCTGAGGGGCTCGGAGGACAAAACGCTTAAGTGCCGTTTTTGAAAAAATTTGGATATTAATGATTATAATTAAAACTAGTCCAAATGTATGTTCTGTGAGAAATTCACTCCCACATTACAATTTTTAAGCATCAAAAAGTCAGTTTGAACTTTCTTTTCGCCTTAAGCATCCCTTCCCTTTCGACACTACAAACACGTATTTCTCGAAACGGCAAAAACTGTACTTATGCGCCTTTTCCTCCAAGCCCCTCATTTCATATTTGAACAGTATAAATCAGAAGTAGTCTGATTACACCGGGTGTTTGTCCAATTTCCTCTCAGATTTTTTTCTTCTTTTCTATAAAACTGAGCCCTGGAGTAAGTAAATTCTTCATACTGGGATTTTGCGAAAAGTTTCAGTTCGCCATGTTGCATAGTTCTCCTGTAAAATGATAAAAAATGGAGAAAATTAGGCAACGCAAAATGCGGTTAGGATAATTCTTGTTGAAACTGCCCGTTTGAGGTTTTGAAAAAAAATTAATCGATAAAAAGTTGCAGAAGGAAAGCAACGCTTACATTGCTTATGTAGCCAGGACGGGATTTCTGAAAGACTCTTGTTCCGCTTGCGTTTGAGATCACTTTATCAGTTTCCCACGATGCAGCGCCACGCGGGTCAAGGCCCACTGGCCCACGCGATGTTTGCGTCGACTTCATCTTTCAGCCGATCTTTACAAAAACAGCGCATGCGCTTTTCAATGCTGCTCGGATATTAAACCTGCAGAAACAGAGTGTACCTCAAGTATGAATAATGCTGAAGTGTTATCTCGGTGAGCAGTAACGCCTAAATTTTTGACATCGAGTCTCTCTTTTGCTTTTTATCTAGTTCAAATGAACTTATTGATTGAGCAAAAGCAGCAAATTTCTTCTGTTTAAAAAAAAGGAAAGGAAAAAAAAACCAGCATCGGTAAAAAATTATTAAGTGCGCAAAAATTGACGTCATCTCAGACACAACCGCTTGCACAGTATTCTGCGAGAGGGCTGTTTTATGCAAAATGACACCGTTTTTTGCTACTTTCTAACCCTTAGATGTGTTTCTTTTGAGTAAGTTGTGCAGATGAAGAATTTGAATTGCCTCAGAATTGTAACGAAACGAACCTAAACAAGAAACAGGGAAAATGGGGGGGGGGGGGATTCGGCCCATGTCATATCCCCTCCAGTCCATTTACTTTTTGTGGTCACCAGTTTTGAATTACGTTTTCTTCTTCTTTTATTTTTTCGTTGACATGCATTTAAAAGACTCCCGTTAAGCACATTGCCTTAGAATAAAGAGATAATCAATTTTTTTTTTTCACTTTGGCTCAAATTTAATTCCCCTCAAAAGTGGAATAAGGCAATATTTCTTTTTAGTTTACAATTGAGTCTCAACATTATATTATCTAAAGCCCGGCTTGAGACTAAAATTCCGTAGGCTGATTATATCACTCAAAGGAGCTCTCAATTGTCATTGATCGTTGTACACGTGTACTCGAACTCGATAAGGAGGCGAGGTCGCGGGAGTTCCTCGTAGCGCCTTCAACTTGATGCACGGCCACCCACAACACTGCAACTCCGCGCACGCTCTTCAAAGCCCGGCATGACGCATGGGTATGTCACTTGGACGTCAGTTTACCTTTTCCAACTTAGAGGCGTGTTTTCCACGTTTCCGCATTGAGTTTATCGTGTTTAACCTCTACGATTTTCCTCGCCCTCTTTCCTCTCTTCTCTCTTCATCCGTGTTTTTCCTCCTTCTTTTCCTTCCTCTGAAATCCATCCAGTTTCTTCAAAGTTTAGTATCGATAAAAAAATGGTTACTCAGTATCTGAAACATGTACGAAGCAGGGATACTTAAGTGTAGTGCTATAGCTTCTAATTCCGAGACTTTTATTTTTTTCTTCCTCTTTGTTCAGATAAATATTGGTCTCAATTTGTTCAAGTTTTTCCGGAGTCTACTCGGAAGAATTGACCGGTTATAATCAAAATTAGCCTGTGTACACATCAGACGTTGTCTAATTTTTTTAATCTTTCTATTTCTTTCACAGAAAGTCAAGTAACATTTTAACTTGACAATTTGTAGAGCAACATGTTGCCAAAACTTGAACTATTGTCACTTATTTGATCGTTTGTTTATTTACAGGTGGGTTCAAAGGTGATCTGCTCCTTTGGTGTCGCTTGCTACTACCTGGTGTTGGTACAGTTAAAAGGGTCTACAACCTACAGTCGAAACAACTCATTAAATTATTCAGTCGTGTAAGTTATCAGTGGTAGCACTAGTGGCCGTGTAATTCATGCATTTTACTGCTTTTCTTAGAATTTAGACAAAAATAATCAATCTAAATATGAAAAACCACGGATTGATTGCGGTGCATGTTAATTATTCTTAGAGCATTAGCTTGCTATCAGGGTTCATTTGATGTTGTGAGGGATACTTATAGGATCAGAACAAGGATTAAGCTTTAGCTTAAAGACATATTCTGTACAGCTCAAAGATTATACACCTGAAATTGACTTGTCCCAACCTGTGTTGGTTGCTTATAGTTAGTGCCACACTAAACAGCACATCTCCTACAGGAAGGAGGATGCTGGAATAATCTTTCCTTATCTGTCATCATGAGAATATTAGTTCTATGTTGAATTTAATACACAATACCAGAATTGTCATTTCTTGGAATAACTTATAATTTCTTCCTTTAAATCATGCATATTTGTCATCTGATAAGAGTAAAACCCGGAAAATGCGGCCAGAACACCGTAAGTAACAGGATGGTATAACAGTGCCGTGGGAAAAATCAAAGTCGAAGATATCCGAAACTTACCGATCGGTACAGATCTCTTGACGTGACCCCAGCATAGTATACTCCTAGGCATCTGTCTAAGGTGAACAAACAACCCCCCCCCCCCACCCCCCCCCCCCTCACAATAGTTTAGCAATAAATCTCACGGGTGTTTGAATTTTGTGAATCTAATTTTAATATTTAGATTTTTTTTACTTTGATTTCCCTGCAGAAATGTGTAGACCCAGCCCTGTTCTATCATTCTATTATTTGTCATCCATCTGACATGTTTAATAGACCAAAGTGGATACTCATACCTACTGAGTTGCTGCATTTGGAACTTAGATTTTTTCAAATGCAAGTTAGTCATTATTTCATTGTTAGCTGAAAAGTCTTGTCCAGGCATAAAAATATATCCCAGAAGTATCAGATTTCTCCTCCATTTTTTTACATTTTCAACAATAGACTAGGCAAAAAAGGAAAACGTAGGGTTTTCAGATTACATGAATGTTTAAAATTTAAAATCCGTTTATTTCTATGTAGCTTTTTGGTGCGGACCAAGATGAAATGTTGGAAGACTTGGAGCAGGGCGACATCGCTGAAACTATCAAAAATTTTTTTGACAGGAGTCAAAAGCTAAAGCCCGCTAAAAAGAGCCTATTAACCCTTCAGGACGTTGACAATTTCCTGGAGCGTCTCACAATGTTGACAAAAGAAGAGGATCAAATGGCGCACTTTAAACAAATTGCTGTCAAGTAAGCATCTCATCAATATTCTCTCACATAATTTATGCTTCCCATCCTCACACTGTTTTTTGAAGTTGTAATCCAGCAGGAAATAGCTAGCTCAAATTATTGGAACCAGTGGACTGGCGTGCTTTATATATCGATACATCGATTGACCTGCCATTTAAACCTATGGAAAAGGATAGATGAACAGGGTGTTCGCTACAGGCATCATAATAATCGATTCTTTACCATAGCTTCAAATATGGAAATATCGAGAAATCGATCATTCATGCTCCACCACTGGGTGAAACTAATTTTCCATTTGCCCCTGAGGTTAGTACCTAAAATAAAATAAATGTTCAGGTAGAAGGCAAAAAGACAACTTCTCCATTATTTTTTTATCCCTTTTCAAGAAATGAAACTTAAGATATATTTTTCATGTAAGACTGACATAGAATTGTCTTGCTGATTTTTTTTGCGGTCGACATTACATGCCATTGCGTGTAAACTTAAGATATAAATAATCTGTATTTTCCCCCCTTTTTTACGTAAGAAAATGGGCATGAATACCTAGTAAAATGTATTTAGTCGAGTTAAGGATCAATATTAGCTGTAAATTTATTTTTCCTTGCAAATTCCTTGTGTTAACTTTTCTGAAGAGGTTGAGCTCCTTTTATGGAAGCATTATTTTGGCATTCTTAATCCCAAAATACACAAGCCGATTAAAATTGACTCGAGGCATGTTAAAGAAACGTACCTCGCTAAGTGATGGGGCCCATGGGGACGGTACATAGAGCTTTAGATGCAGCTTTCCAAATAAATCGTAATAAAAAAATCAGACAGCATATTGAAAAGACTAAAAAAGTCGAATGTCAATGCAGCCAAATTTAGGAGAAACGTAATCGGGCCCGGTCTCATAACTTTTCTCCGGAATCCGAGCATGACCTCACCAGCAGCATAGAGCGGATCGTTGCGAGTTCACGCCTCGCGCCATGGCGCCTTCAATTTTGCAGATGCAACACGGACATCCATCGAGTACGAATAGTTGTATCTCTGCGCCGTCATCAACGCACGTCCTTTCTGTCGCGCTACTCCCATGTTGCGTTGGACCCATTTGTCTTATTTTTAGTGGTGTTTCAAGGGTTACGTAAGCAACACAACTGAAGATGGGAAAGGCGTAATCAGGCCTCGTTTTTTAACTTCTCTCTCGAATTCGAGCGTCACCACGTCACCTCATTATTCTGCCATGCTAAGGAAAAAAGCCGGATGAACTTACAAGCGTTGCCAAATTTCCTTTGATAAAACACAAATTTATCGGTAAACACATGAATGTTTTTATTCCAATTTTTCAGATATTTTCGTTCGCAATTTCACATAAAGTTCCTGAAAATTTCAAGGAAAAATATTCATATCTTGCCTCAAAAATAAGCATATTATCGAAAGAAATTTTGCAACTCTCGAATGTTCATACGGAGTTCTACCTTATTATAGCACGGCAGTATTGGCGTAAGGCGGACCATTGCGAGTTCACGCCATTAATTTTGCAGATGTCCGTTTTTCTATGTCTTTTACCCTCCTACAGCTATAAATTCGGTACCTAACCACTTATAACTTAATTTAATAACACACACACTAGTCTAAAGTTGGCTGCAGAGTGCAGGTGCTTGACACAAAGTCATTTAACAACAGGAAAAAAAAAATTGCAGATGCGAAACGGACTTCTATCAAGCATGAGTAGTTGCATCACTGCACCCTCATCAAAAAAGGCGTTGAAGTGTTTCTCATTTTTTAAGTGTGTCAAAAGTTAGGGTTAATTTTATCAAAATATGCCATGATGTGTTCAAATCAATGATCATGTTGAAGAAAGAAGAGTGGATGTCACCCAAGCGCTCAAAAGAGCGCACGTCTGAAAATTGGAATTTTAGCAAGAGTCATGTTGTGTTACGGAATTTTATTTTGATTACTACCCCTAGAAATCCCAATTGGGTTAAACCCGAATATCAAAATTGACCCAACTATCTCTTCCGGTGGGGGGAGTGTTACATATGGAGGATGAGAAGAGGGGTGAAAAAAGTGCCAGTATGTTACCCAAAATATGAAAATTTCAAAACAAGTATTTCTAACCTTCAAAATTTCAGAAATAACACAGATAACATTCCAAAATCAATGTATTTAAATATGGGTCAATTTGAGACTTGACTTATGAAAAAAGTCTTGGGTATCTACAGGTTAAGAAAGATGTCAGAAGATTTAAATGTTACATGATCGGAGATAAAAAGCTTTATGAAGGTATCAAAACATCACCATTCTTTTTAATAATGCTGCTCTTTAATTTCAGGTGTACCTCTAATGATTTAAAAATGGTCATCCGACTGATAAAAGGAGATTTACGAATAAACGCTGGAGCCAAACCTATGTAAGTACTCATCGGTGTGTTTCAATTGCACACATCATTCTTGATGTAGGAAGACGCACATGTCTGACTTGTGTAAATTTCAAGGGGGGAAAAAAAACCTTGTAAACCTATAAGTTTTTGAAGTTTTTAACAGCAACATTAGCCATAACGAGAGGACTCAAATAAGAACTTCAGTATTTTTGGGCCGATTATAAATAACTTGATTTTAGTTAAAATCTTTGTGCTCCTCGGAAACTCATCTGTTTCTTTTATTTTGTGTGGAAGCCTCGAGTTTCAATTTTAAATTTCCTTTTCTTATCTCAAAGTCTGAGTTTTCATAAATTGCCTTATTAGCACTAAGTTATAGCTGTTCGATTTGACCTCTAATATGATACTTCTTTTCTTTGCACATAGTATTTATTTAGACAAGTATTCTTTTCTTTGCAGTTTAACAGCAATTCATGAAGATGCATATCAAGCTTTTCAAGCAAATCAAGATATTGAGGCAGTTGTTAAGGAAGCTCTGAAACATGGACGATCTGCAAACGCATCCTCATTGTCTCCAAAAAAGAAGATGAATATTGGAGTCAACCTTCTCACTCCTGTGTTACCAATGTTGGTAAGTCCTAATTACTTTATACAAAACTGCTGTTCCCACTCTTTCTGCCCTTCCAGAGAAAAATTGGCCAAAGCGATTTTCTTTAAACTTGGTACTTGCTTCGCTATTTTCGTGGGGAGTTTCAAAATTTTTCTTATTAGAATACGTTGTGCAGGATGCTCACAAGAGCGAAAAGTTGTTTCTCCTTACAGTAATGCATCGGTGATACAAGGTTGTTTACGCGCACCGCGCTGAACAGGTTGAATTGTGTCACGTGACGTCACAACAGGGCCACCGTGTGTCCTGTGTTGTGTGCCTCGATTGCATTAATCAATACATTGTGTAAGGTGAGTCTGAGAGGATTCAAAGTCTCAAAGCTCAGACTTCTCAATGTGTGATTAGTTGTTCTAGGCATGAAATATCTGTAATGTAAGCTCCAATTATTGATTTTTTGCTAAAAGGTAAAATAAATAAAAGCTTTTTGGAATGAAGAAGAAGGAAATGGTATAAAAGTGCGCCACGTCCAACTCCTGTTCAAAGTGGCTCCAAAGCCACTGCTGGCTTTAACCAAGTTAAGCACAATCTTCAAGAGCACTCAGCTTTCAGATATCTTTTCAGGAACGATTATAAATTTCTTTCAAGATGAAAATATTCTCTTAATAGTTTTCTTTCGCAAGTGCTTTGATCATCAATAATTTTTTATGTTTTTAATCTTTTCTCTTATACTTAAACATACTTGGAAATGCAGCAAACATAAACATTAAGAAAATAAAGAGAAAAGGAATATTTTGTACGGCCATTATGTAGCTACTTGATGATTTATTTACATATCATGCCCTGAGGCCTTTTGTAAATTAATAATCTATTAATAGCATAATGATTGCAAGAAATATTCCTTTTCTTTTTATTATTTTTATTTTTGTTTTGATTCATAGTTTCAAACCCTTCACTTGCAATTCTCCTACGTTATTTTAATTGTAAATTGTAAACTCCATTTTTGGCTGTTTACTGAATTACAGGCGGAGGCATGCAAATCAGTGGAGATGGCCATGAAAAAATGCCCAAATGGTATGTACTCTGAGATTAAGTATGATGGAGAGCGAGTTCAAGTCCACAAGCAGGGTAACCAATTCAAATACTTCTCCAGAAGTCTTAAACCAGTGCTTCCCCACAAGGTATGTTTTTTTGGTCCTAATGAGCACACATATTTCAATGTTGATGGGAAAAGAGAGTCTCCTTTCCACAGAAATAAAACTTTTAGCGAAGCGGTCTACATCAAGTTAAGTGAAGAAACGACATATCAACGCAGAAACTACTAAACCATGTGTCTTGTTTGCGGTGTTTGAAAATCTTTGCTCCAGTCTTATTTTATGAAAGGAGAACAAATCAATATCATTTCTTGAAATTTCCGAGTTTTCTTTGCACGGAGAAAAAAAAACATGGACATTTGCAGGAATTTTCTTGAGTAGTTTTCCATTTAAAAAATAATGTATGACAGGAAGTCTACAACGTTGCAAACCGAGATATGTGGTCTAGTAGTTTCACCGTTGATTTTAAGTTTTCAAAGATAAACTCTCTCGAATTTCCTATGAAATAGGTTCCAAACAGTTCAGTTAATTTCTATACCAAAAGAAAACGTAAGGTTGCATTATAATCAGGCAATCTTGTGCCCTGTACATATTTTAATTTCAAATAGCTTTTTCTTGCTTTCAAGTTTGTTGAACTATTCACGTTGAAAACCACTGGATTTTTGCTATGGTTAGACATTTTTGGGCGATTTTTGTCCTGAAATGTTTGTAGAACACTCATAGACTCCAGTATCATGCTCTGTGCTCCAGTATAAAAATTTTGCTATCGCAATTGGAGCTTTAATAGCAGCATTATTCAATATGCTTGTTCTATGTGAACTTATCTATAATTTTCAAAAACAACTAATTATTGAGAGATAAAGTTTGATGGTAATACTAAGGTCCCTTGTCGGAGGGCTGGTGGTGATAGGTTTTGAAATCAAATTTCAAAATGTGATATTCAGAAAAACTACGAAAGCCCACATTGATTAAAAACAGCCTCTAAAGTGCTACATACTGTAGTTTCTCTAACATGGTTTTATCTACGATGTACCCAGAAAAAACAATGCAAATGTAAGCAGAACTTATCAGTGTTACAAAGGAAATAAATAATGTTAGTTAAACATCCTGGATGTTAAAAGTTTACAGCATTGATCAGTAGATAAAATTTCAGCGCCTAATTTGAACTTAGCTCATCAATATTTTCTTTTATTTTCCAGGTAAACCACTTCAAGGACCACATTCCTAAAGCTTTTCCTCATGGTAAAGATTTGATTTTAGATGCCGAAGTGTTAATGATTGACCTTAAAGATGGAAAGCCCCTGCCTTTTGGCTCGCTTGGTGTCCACAAGGTAAGGAACCCAGTTTCAGGGTTTTTGCAAGTTAGAGAAGTTCCCTCTTGAATATCCTTAATTTTTTTAATTTATTTTAATTTAATTGCTTAAAAACTTGTTATTTTATTTTTTTTGAAAAAGCTGTAAAATCATTTGGAAGTATCAGAGCTATTAATCAAGAGTAAGACATCTGAAAATTGCATTTTTCAAGTCAACAAAATTGTGACAAAGTGAACTTTTCTCAGTTCAATCTTCTATGCATTTATTTTGCTTGTGCGATCTGAAATTTTGCAGTCCAGTTTTTTCATAATAAAATGGGTTATTACTCTGTAGTCTTTTATCCTCTGCTTCTATTTCCTCTCCTTCCTCATCCATTTAGAGCATAAGCTCCGTTTTTCAAGCCATTACTGTATCAGAGACATATAAAAGTAATAAACCTTGTTGAAACTTGATGAAATTTCATCAAATTGATAAAAATTTATCTTTTGCTGTCAGTATAGTTATGATTTTTTATTTTACCCAATGGATACTGGTAATTTTCTAGTAATTTTATTGCTACACTTTCCACGAGGCAATGCTTTGCCGGAGGAAAAGTGATTATGAAACTTTATTTTAAACGCTCTAAACACTCCTGAAAAATTCTAGATTTTCCTCAAAAACCCATGAAAGCTCCAGGATGTCATCTTAGTAAGGTCTTTTAAGTTATTAAAATTTTTTGTAGTTTAACAGAATGAACCTTGAGCCTGTCAAATATTGTTATCATTATTGGGAGTCCATTGTTTAATCAACTTGCTCATCCCTTCATTTATGATTGAAATTTAATTAATTAATATTTCTCTTTAATATCAATAAAAAAAGTCTGTAAAGTGTGGGCAAATATGTTATTACTAGTAATTTTATTTTTAATCTCGCATAACTTTGTGTCCCATTTCAGAGAAACGATTACGCTGATGCCAATGTTTGCTTGTTCGTTTTTGACTGTATGTATCTGAATGGAGAGTCCCTATTAGACAAGTACGTACTCCTTTATCATCTTAGTCTCCTTGCCCAAAATAATGCTCAATTTATAATTCCCTGCTGGGCACTCATTTGTACTCAAATAATTTATATTTTTTAGGATGCGTTGAATTTTTATTTGTATGTGTCCTTTTCTAAATGAACAAATTATAGTGCACAGTAGTAAACAATAAGACTATTTTCCCTCAAACTTCAAGATGAAGAACTTGGTAGGTTCTGCTTGCTTTAAACTATTTACAAATACAATGATGCTAATGGGACAGGTGCGTTTAGCCCTGGACAGACGTTCAAAGTGAAGCTGCAAATTAGTGGCTGTTTAGTCAAGTGTTGCGCGGTAATCGATGGCAACTCTTGGCTAAACAGCCACCACTTTGAAGCTTCACTTTAAACGTTTGTCCCCCACTTTAGTCACCAAATCATGTTCTGATGGTGTAAGTCTAGCGATCAGCAAAAATAAATGAGGTCTGTCCAAACCCCAAATTTCAATGAATATTAATATAGGTATCACCCATTGAAAAACACGACATCCACCACAGTAGTGCATACTTAGGTTCCTTTCACCTTTCTTTCAGCCTTGTTTTACTCCTAACAACCAGTGCAAACCTGTGTATTGCTGATTGACAAAACTGAGGTGGAAGGAACCATGGTGGAAGAAACCATGTTATGCACTACCACTGTGGATGGCAAATACGTCAAGTTTTTCGATGAGCAATATCTTTGTTAAAATTTGATGGAGAAACTTGGTTTTTAAGAAAATATTGTAAAAATTTGCTAATCTACATATGTAGCTGAAACCGTCAGAACATAATTCTATCACCAGCACAACTGACCCATTGAAATTCGAAAAATATGACTCTTGATTACTGTATTTCAAGTTTTCTGTTCTCATCTTTTTCCTGAAGAAAATAACCAACATTTTTACTTCAAATTTCTGGTGAGAATAAAAGAAGTTTCATGCAAATTTTAAAATATCTGAAATTATTAGTTTGACGGCATTGAAGTAAAAAGTGGCGAAATCAGGAACACCTAAAATTGAAACATCTATTTTTCCAGTCTCTTTTTTTTCAATATGGATGTGAGACATACCTCCTCTTAGTTGAAAGATGCATTATTTGAAAGATAACATCAGATTTTATTATTTTTACCAATTTTCTCTGTAAATTTTGGTCTCATTTAATGGTTTCTAAAACACAAATATGTTCTTAAATTTTCCCTAAACAGGCCTATAAAAGAAAGGAAGAGGATTTTGAAAGACAACATGATTGAAATACCGAACCACATTGTATTCTCAGAAATGGAAGAAATTCACGTAAGAGTTTTTCTCATACTTATTACTCTGCATGATATTGTAGGCTCTCTTTTTAAAAAAACCATAGATGCTCAGATCTTTTTTCTATTGACACTGTAAAAAATGTACCTCTATTCCAGTGAAAGCTTTCTAAGCTAGCCCAGATCAAAGGCCTAAATACTAACAGTATGCAGAAGAAATAAATGAATATTTGAATCTAAAATAAAGAAAATTAGGAATAGGATACTGCTCACTAAAATGTATGACTGCGATTTTTAACTACCATTCTTGTAGCTGTAAAAGAGCTCACCATGAATTAAAATTGATCTTTTGTTGTTACTTCAGATCTTACAAGTTATTTTTAAGTTTGAGAATCTTAAAGCTTCTACAGAAAAGGTCCACGCCATTCATGCAATGTTTAGTTCAAATTTTCAATTTTACAAATTTGTAGATAATTTGAAGTATCAATGTCCTAACTGAAATAAATACATATCTTCCAAACTTACTTTATCTCTACAAGCATTACCTTTAAGTTGTAGATCAGAACAACAGTGCAAACTTGGTTGGCATGGCCATGTTCTGAAATATATCTATGGTCAGTAGTGTCTGCCACAGTTGTTTATACAACCTACTGTCAGCTCATCAGACGGCCACTGAGCTTTGCAGGAATGTGGAATGTGCCATTCTTACAAGTCAGAGAGTACAGGCCATTTTTGGGGTGCATGACGGCAGCTCTGTGATTGCCTTCGTCCGGAGAGGGCACCTTGCCGGTCAGCATGATTGTACTTCTACCAGTTCAACCACTGCTGCTTTATTTCCATAGGATCACATCATTATTTGCTCTGACAAACAAAACAAAAAAAAAGTTTTAAATTTTATGCACCAAGAGAGAAGAAGAACAATGGGCCTGTTGGAAACTTTTGCTAGAGCAAAAATAAGACTTCCCTATAGGTAAATGTCTCAAAAATCACGATGAGCACATTGGCAAACTCTGAAATGCACTCCTATTTTCACAATCTGCGTAAGAATTTTGCGTTTGTTTAAGATTCCTGGTTCAAAAAGGATACTACAGTACGGGAGAACATTTCTTTAGAGGAGTTGTTCCATTCAATCCCTGGTTAACATTCTTTCCGCTGGTTCAACTTCCGCGCGCAAGTTGAGGAGAGCACGAGGTCAATCAAGGCGGATATCTTTCAACGCGAGAAAAATGTGAATGTAAACACGCCGATTGTTATCAGGTGGTTAAAATCATTGTCCTGTCACATGTGTTCTGGCGGATTGGCGTCGGCTATTTTGAATATTATGTAGTATCGGTGTGAGCAGGGGTTGGATGGAATGACTCCTATAACGAAATGTTCACTTGAGTTGTGGTATCGTTTTTGAGGCAGGGAGCTCGAAAAAACGCAAATTTCTTATGCAAATTGTGGAGTAAGGAGTGCATTTCAGACTTTGCCGATGGGCTCATCGTGATCCTTGAGACATTTTCTAAGATTAACAACTAACAACTCTCATTTTTACTACAGCAAAAGTTTGCAACAGGCCCATTAACCGAAATTTAGTAATATGAATTTACTATCTCAGATTGTTACATTGTGTTATTAAAAATTATTTCCTTTTTTCCAGGAACCTAAAGAGTTAGAAAATATGATATCTAAAGTTTTGAAGCAGGGACTTGAAGGACTGGTTCTCAAAGATCTAAATGTAAGTATATTCGAAGTATAAGTCACAGAATCCATTTATCATTTTATCAAAGCTGGAACAAGAGAGCATGAAAATTTTATGAGGGCTGAATGAAGAGTAATAATGGACACCTACAGGTATCTTAAAATCTGCATTTGATTAATCAGATCATGTATGCAACTGCATAAGCAGTTAGCTGCCGTTATTATCCTCTTAGAACCTTGTACAACTTCATTCAGTTGGTCCGTCCTTGACAAGGCATAACATCCTGAGATGAAGCAAAGTTTAGGAGATATCAAGGTGGTCCAAAAATATTTTGCGCTGCAATGTTTGCTCCAATTAGATAGGCTCGAAATGGTTTTAAAATAAACACTATAAAACTTGCCATTAATTTGAAAAAGTTCTAGAGTGTGCCCATTGCGCACCACTTTTAAAATTTTGAGGAAAAAGTAATTTTTAGTAATTTTTTTAAAATTTCTCTGCACACAAATTGAGAAACAGTGAGAGATTTGATGGCAATTGACCTTGAAGACATGCAGTTTCTCACTTGGTTTGTGTTTAAACCAAGAGATATTCTTGTGCGATGTACAAAATCTGCCAAGGCTAATTGCATAATAATTTTTGTCATTTTTTTGGAAATTAAATCAATCATTTATATTTCTTTTCCCTATCTGGTCATGGATTTATGTACTAATGATTCGAATCCATGTTTAAGAGCACATATGAACCCGGCAAACGACACTGGCTGAAAGTGAAAAAAGACTACTTATTTGGTGGTAAAATGGCTGACTCAGCTGATTTACTCGTCCTAGGAGCTTGGTATGGATCGGGTCAAAAAGGTAAGTTTTTAATTCAAATGAGAGTCGTTAAATATTAAGTCAAGGTCTCTGTCAATTTTCATCTAAAAAAATTTGCAAGAATGGACGAATTAAATTGAATTTTTTTAGCACATTTTCCCCCTCTTAATCAGATTGTAACTTGATTTAACTTACATGGAATTTCCATACAACTTTCGACGATTTCCAGAATGTCAAGTAGATATTCAAGAAAATGATGATTATGAAATGATAAATCCCTTATTTTGATGGTCCCTGATTCTCAATAAATGTCTTTGCTTTCTCAGAAGATACTAAACCATCCAAGAAATAACCTCTGGTTCAGGTGTTCTGGTATACTTTTTATGTCTTAATTTAAATACTTTACTAAAACGCAAAGTACAATTTTCTAATTTAATAACTTCTCTTGAAATCGGAATAATTTTATTTAATTTTTTTACCTCTGAATTCTGATTAAGGTGAGGCTACTTTTTCCCTCAACCTAAATCCATGAGTAAACAACTTTTCTACAGTTATCATTCTCATGACTGAAACAACCCATTCCTCGTCTATGAGTCTATTCTATTTAAGCTTCATCTGTGTCTGAAATTTTTTCCAAAACTTCAGTTGAGTTGTTTCAGCAAAAAGAGAATAGTTAATGCATTGCGGTAGTTTTATCTCAGGTTAAAATGGCCAAGCAGAGCAGAAAAGAAGGTCAACCTTTGACTTTATGCAAGTGTGTACGGAGTCTGTCAAAGTTTTACTTGCTAAAATGCAGTAGTTATTATTGATTTTGAAACTAGTAACTTTGTTTCCTCTTTTTCAGGTGGGATGATGTCTATATTTTTAATGGGCTGTCGAGATCCTGAAAAGAATGTGTGGTGCACTGTTTCGAAATGTCACACAGGTCATGATGATAAAACCCTTGAGAGATTACAGGTAATATTTTCAATAACTCCTAATATCAATGAATCTGGGATAGTGAATTTCGGAGTTAATATCCTCTTTTTTTCTTTTTTTTTATCTTTTTTTTTTTTGTTTATTTGCCACCAAAAGGTTTAAATTCAGAATAAAATTACAACAAATCGAATGAAAGATAGCACAAAAGAAGACAGTAAAATTACTAGGGGTAAGTTATAACTAGACAACTATAGACTGTCTGACAGATTTTCTGCCACTTTTGGATGGCTGCCGGAAATCGCCGTGTGGCATGGTTAATATCCTGTTATTAAAGTGTGTCATACATAGTAACATTTTTATTAGAACTCTTCTTTCCCTGAGAGTGGGTTCAGAAGAACTCTCTTCTCAGAATTCTACTGAACCTTTAAAGTTGGAAACCACATTTGAAAGCTGGAACTAACCGCTTCCAAATGCTATTAGTTAACTTTAAAGGCTCAGAAGAACTCTGTGGAGAGTTCTTAATGACACTCTACACCATTTTCTGTCTAATTCAGTTATACTGATATAAGATCAGTTAACTACTTTCTGCACAACCCTTATTATAAGTTGACTTTTTTACTTCAATGAACTTTTAATCAAGACATGTTTGTCTCATTAATCTTGGTGAAATTTCCTTTTCTTGACTGAAATTTTAATCTAAACATGTTTGTCTTACTGATCTTGGTGAAATTTTCTTTTCTAGACTGAGCTAGCACCAAACATGCAAAAAATTAGCAAAGATGCAACGAAAGTTCCCAAGTGGCTAAAGTGCACCAAAACAATGGTACCTGATTTTGTCGCAATTGATCCAGAGGTAAACTGCTATTTTTGTTTTCAATATTTTTTTTTGGAGAAATGTTTATTTTAGGGCATCATCATAGAGCATTTTTAATGTCTGAAAGCTCTTTTTCTGCTTCAGTTGGAGCGCGAAGTCGCATGATGGGTAGCAGGATGGAGGTTCTTGGATAAACTTTTTTTCATATGGTAGGTCATAGGTTGAGAAAGTTTGGAAAAACTGTGAGTCACAGCTTTTGGACAAATTTTTCATCGCTCAATGGGTTCTTGATGTACACTTTAATAACTCTTGTTCCCGCATTCGGAAATGCACTTGGTTCCACTGTGGATGTGTGGGTCTCCTTAAAGGAAGAAACAACGGAACCTGTATAAAATGCTGAAAAAAACGCATGAGCAGTGCATATCTCAGGGAACCCTGCATTCCAAAAGCCAGCATGTAGTGCTGGTTTTTTAGATAAGGAAAGTTATTCTGTGTATTAATCTTGAGTTGAAGAACTCTACTGTATCACATCCATCCTGTGTTACTCGAAGAATTCAGTGCTTTTTTCATTGAAATTATCACTTTATGATTTGCACAAGCTGTAGATAAAAAATAAAGCTGTGTACAGAAAAAATGCAAGTAAGTAGATGGTTTAGAAATGCATAACATTAATCTTTGCAGAAGTCATCTATATACAAAGTACTTGTTACCTTAATATCATTACAGGGTATTTTTTTATTTACTAAATTGAATTAATTTGATCCCTCATGAACTACATTGCAGCTGCAACCAGTCTGGGAAATTACGGGTGCGGAATTCACGCAACATGATGTTCACACTGCAGATGGAATTTCCATTCGATTCCCACGCTGCACCAGAATTAGAACGGACAAAAATTGGGAGACTGCCACGACGTTACCAGAATTAAAGGTTGGTATTCTTCAAGTATTTCCACACATTTTGGGAGAGAATTTTAACTCCCCATGTGAAAATTAAATGTTTTATCCACACTTTTTGAATTTTTCAACACACTGATCATAGATTTGAGCAAGTTAAATATCTAGAGAGAGCGATTCTTCCCACAAAAAATGAAGCAGAATGAAGCTGTTGTTAATGAGGACAATTGTAATGGACTGTGGGACAATAAAAAGCAACAAGAAAAGAACTTAATCTATTAGGGAGGAACCAAGTCTTGTTTATGAAAATATGAGGTCAGATGAGTTTTTTTCAGCTTCGGTGGCCGACATTTCGTCCTATCAAAAATTCCAAGTCAAAAAATAATATTTTTAGCATGAAAGTATGTGTCAAATTTTATCACTACATATGTGTTTCGAAGGAATATAACTTTAAATTTATTTTCCTCTGTTTAATCTTTATATGATAGGGTTCTTCTATGTTAAAATGAATCAAAATATGAAATGTGAGTGCAGGAAACAAACAATGTAGAAATCTTCGAAAAAGCCTGTAAAAATAATTAAGCGAAAACCAATGTTTTCCGGGTGTTTTTCACTCACAGTGAAAGCCCAATAGTGATCAGTCATCAAAAAGTCTGACAATTTTTTAAGGTTATATTGTTGAATGACTAGTGAAGTGGTGTTTCTTTCTTCTAACATGAAATCGAAAGCATGCCAGGATTTAAGAAGTAATCCTTAGTAAGATTACATCAGCAGCAAGAGAGCGAGAACGGCACTATTGCAAATCAATCAAATCATGAAATTATTTCAATTTTGAGGTTTTAATTTTCAATGTTAAAATTAATCTACAAGAAGTTCCTTTTTTCTCCCTCTGTAGTGACGATCTCTTGTGCCTCAGTTCCAATCATGATTTGAGGAGTGAATAACAAAGAAAATACCGTTGATTTTGTATATTTACTAATTTTTTACTCTCCTCTTTTTTCAGACCTTATTCGAGAATTCAAAGACCAATTTTAGTGATCATCTTTTTGGTGGAAATTGTGCAGGAGATGCATCGAACCCATCGTCACCAGTACCATGTGATGATGAATCCAGGGTAGGTAGAAGCTCAACTGGGCTAGCCAAAGGTTTCCTCTCATATTTCATTTTCTAAGAGAATATCAAATATTTTTGCTCGAAATTCTCAGAGGATATTCTCGAAAGGACAAATAAAATTGACACGGAATTATTTGGAACAGTGGTGAAAAGTGGATTTTGAAGATTCACACACAACAGTAATTTTTTGGTTTTTCAAATCGAAGCACTGGATGCGAAAAGGGCTTTTCTCGATTGCAGTTTTTTAGAATCTCTGTTGCTAATTAATCCCTTGGAGAAGAATTTAATGGATGAATTTTCCTGAATTCTCTTTATAGAAAATTGTAAAATCATGAGGAATATTCAGTAAAATTCCCAGTGAAATGGATGCATTCACTTTCCTTAGAACGAATGAAATATTGGAGGAGACTCTGAAACACTGCAACCGAGAAGTGCCCTTTTCGCATCCAGTGCCTCAATTTTATGCCTTGAAAGTTAGGAAAGAAAAAAATAAGTAAGCTAAAAAGAAATACATATGTCTTTAACCAAAAGGGCATTCACACTGACTTCATGGTATAACCAAACTGAGAAAGTGATGGAGCATTTTTTCAATCTCTTTAAAGCATTAAATGAATAAAATGTTTAGTCTCTTAAGGAAGAAATTGTTTTCTTATGAGCGTACTTATTCAATTTTTTCCTTTTTTTCTCTCTTTTCAGGAAGCAGTCACACCCACTAAATCGCCAAAAATAATGACAGTAAATAAGTCTCCTAAGGGGTCTGAAAAATTAACACCCTTGAAAGCCTCACCCAAAGGTTCAAAACAAAAGAAAAAACAAGACTCCGATGTAAGTTTATATTTCATAACGTTCAGAGCTCACTAAAAATTGAGCTGTTATTTGTCTGAAGGGCTAAGCGCCAAAATCTAAGTTTTAAGAAAAATGGATCAAGTGTGCCATTTTTCATAAGTTCAATCTTCTAAGGTTTAACAGGCATTCTTTAGACAACCACATTTTTTGGCCTTAAAAGATAGAGCGCACACTGAATGGAACAATTTTTCCCCTTTTTTCTTGAAACTGTGATTTGGTGCTCAGGCTTTTAAGAAAAATATCGCTTCAATTTGGTTTGTTGGATGTATGTACAGCTCTTTGATGTGCAACTCATTGGATGTGCAGGATATACATAGAGCTCTGTAAGGATTTGACACTTATAAATTGATCTTGCCACACTATTTTGTGAGAAGAACAAAGTTCTGTTCTAAGAAGGACATTTTTAAAAGAGCGACCCAAAAAACGGTCGTTTTTTGGCTTAATTTCAGACTGCAGAGCCTTTTCTGAAGCTGGGTCTATTATGATATCCTAAAACTCTTATAAAAATTTTAGTTTGAGTATACAAACAGTTTTTGAGTAATTAGGGGATGGGGCGGAGGTGAAGTTGCCGAATAGCCATCATTCTTGATAGCGTTTGTACAGCAAAAACAACAGGGAAAATGGACGGAAAAGTTACCTCTTCGATAGGTTTTGGCTGTAAATGTTCTTGACGGACCTTCGTTGCTTACATCCTTGTTCAGTTTCAAAAAATTTCACCGCATAGTGGTCCAAAATGATGGGAAATCATTGGAATATCGGAATTCTTTGTCAAACTTTTTATAAATGGAAGTAAAATTGTTGGTCTCCTGCAGAGTTCATGGCTAACAATGCTCTTATCGGTTCTTAATGCTTAAAATTGTGTTCAGCTTTACAAATTTTCATAGCAAAATTGTCGAAAATGGGGGAAATCATGGACAAATTAAGATCCTCTGTCGAAATTTTTGAAAAACAATGTAAAACTATGAATTTGCAAAAGGAACATCTCTCGATATCTTTAGATTATTCTAAGTTTGGCATTCAAGTGACTGAGCTGATCCTAATAAAAGCATATATGAAGTGATAGTACCAGAGCGGGAAAAATCTCCATATATTTGTACCAGTTGACAAAGCTAATGCTGGTAGGGAAGTTATTTGCGAATGTTTTTGCAGCTGCGAAACGGGTGATATCACAGCCGGATGCTGTAGTCATATAATGACAGTAATCTGGTTTCTAGCTTATGCCCAATATAATGATGTTAATACTCCTAATCCGCTCATGTGCAATGTTTCTATTACCACCCCCCCCCTCCCAAAAAAAACCTAGAAACTAAGTAAGTTGAGTAACGATTTGAATCTGCGAAAGAAGTAATTCATGATTGATGGGGTTTCTTTTAATCAAAGATTTACTCACAAAAGGCATACTAAAAGTTTCTAATAGTAGGTTAGCTTTTGGAAATGTTTCTATGAAGGCCCCCGTTATCCTGTTCTCTCAATAGGGTCCTTAGGAAACTCTTGGTTGGTATGCTCCACTAAATTTTAAAGAATTTTACTCTTTCTCTGTCCAGGCCTCCCCCAAAAAAAACCCAACCTTAGACAATTTCCTGTTCAGAAAACGAGCAGGAGAAGACACAAAAACTGACTTGGTAAGTTTTTCTCATTTTAAATATTCTTTATAAAATTGAATTTTTAGATTGATTTCTTTCAAATTTTTAGGTATCAGATTTATTTTTTAATCTCCTTGTAGCTTCTAGTTCTTCAAAATTGCGTTTGATTAAAAGTGGATGAAAAAAAATGTTGGATGGTAAATGAGTTCATGATTAGTTACCACTCTCATCCAATTCCATAAACTGCATTACTCCAAAAGGAAACCTGGTGCTCTACATGAGATTTTCCCATGTATTGTGAGAATACTCAGCGTAACAGAAAGTCATAAAGTCACCATGTCTATGATTGTATGATCACCACCTTGTGTCTGTTGACAGGTGCGTCTTACCGCCTTTGTCCAAGTGAGACTTGCAATCTTGCATAGGTTTTCCAATCATGCTAAGCAGTCCCTATTGTCTTTGCATTTATACTTTTTTTTGTGTTTGTTTGTTTCTTTTTTATGAAATAAAAATTAATTTGGCTATTCTTACTTTTTCAGGGAGACCAAGGTGCAAGCTCATCAAACATTGTAGCGCCTTCTCCCAAGAAACCAAAGCTAGACTTTGATGCACAAGGGAGAAAAGATAAAGTAAGTCCTCTTTCTTCTTTTCAGTACATAGTAACCTAATTAAAACGGTTCATCTCTTTAGCTTCTCTGAGGGACCTTTCTTCTATGCAAGCCTTACAGGGCAGCATTGGTAAGGTCGGTACGGTTAACCTCATCAACCAGTGGATAAGGTGAAGGGATCTTTCCCTAACCTAGGAAATTCAGATTACAATCTCCTTTCCCGGGAAACCTCAACCGAAAAACATACACATATACATGGTAAACACATACACTCGTAGTGTTCCTGGGAACCTTCACGATAATAGGCCAGTCTACACCTGAAAGAATTAAGCTCAAAAATATTGTATTAGGGTAAGATTAGACGAGAAATTCATTGGAACACCCAGCCTCCACCAGCATTGCCTGCACCAGGCACTTGACTTCTCCAGGAAATTTGATCCCTCAGCGAGTATCAAGCCTTACAGGAAGCCCTCTGCAAAGCATATGTCCTGGCCAAGGTACGGGACAACCAGCACCCTGGCACAGAAGTTGGACTGTCACCTTACGTGTAAGGTTTCCTTGTTGCTAAGGCAGAAGGGTGAGGATGAGAAGATAGCTGCCAGTATGGCTTGCTTGCAGGCCTTCAAGCCGATCAGTGCGTTCTTCTTTTTCATGAAGCTCAGTGTCTGCAGACCATCAAATTCTAGCGCTGCTGGTGCCAGCACCAGTGTACAGCAAATGGACAGATCCTCCCACATACCTATTGTGTCCATGGTATGCAGACAGAAGGTCTACAGCAAAAATGTCCACAAGCAGAAAGTCTACATTTTTTGGTCTGCGTTTACAATGTCTAGAACTAATAAGTCCACTACAAAAATGTTTACAAATAATAATGTCTTCTAAGAAGAAAGAAGAAACTCAAAAAGTTCACTTCTGAAAGGAATAGGTAGAGTGAACTCACATCAGTTACTTCTTTAGTTGTATCTATGCAGAAGAATTATCGTGTATTCATTTTCCTTCAATTGACGCGTTATATGTAGACATTTACTTTCTTGGGCATTCTAAAAGTAGACTTCTGAATTGTAGACATTTTGACTGTAGACCAAAATGTGAAGACATTTTTTGAGTAGACCTTTTTCTCGTGTACCTACTGTCCGTGATTCGCATCCATAATATGTAGCAAGAGCGTCTAGGTTTTCATCTTGGAGAATAAAACTTCCATTCGTATGTTCCACTGAACTGAAGTTTTCATTCATGAACTAAACTTTTTAGTTGTAGAAAGGCACCTAACTTCTTGGTCGAATGGGGTGACGAGTTTTTGATAAGTCAAGGAAATCATGAAAAAGTCAACAAATTTTTCTCAATCCTAACTTCTTGGTTGAATTGGGTGACGGATTTTTGATATGTCAAGGAAATCATGAAAAAGTCAACAAATTTTCTTCAATCATAAAAATTCAGAAAATAACAGTATAAATCTATGCATTTCCTTCCTTTTGTTGGAACTTTTATACATATTTCTCGAATCGGACTGATGCTTTTTTGGCAGATGTTCAAATTTTCTTACATGAGAAATTTTGTTCCCAAATAAAATTTTAGAAAACTGAAAAGTCTTGGACTGGTCAAAAGTATTTGAAATTAAAGGAAATGTGCCACCTTGTCGCAGAAACTGAAGTTCTTGATTTTGGAAACCAAACTTTTTAGGCATAGAAATAGGACTCTTTGGTCAAGGAAATTGAACCTCTCAGACATTGAAACTAATCTCTGCGGTCCTTGAAACTGAGCTTTAGGTCTTCAAACTGAAGTCTCCATCAGGCCTATCAAGACTTGTATTATCTCTTATGGCCCGGTTATCCCACAGTCACAGACTGGTTGTCTGAGACAAGGCTTGGTTTCCAAGTTAACAAAATCAGATTTTCATGATTGATAATTTTGGTTTGTACGACTGGGTGTTTTTTTAGTGATCAAAAAGACCAGTTATCCAGTCTGAAAAGTTTCATGGGCTTAGAATAGAATTCGAGGTTTTTTGTATCTGACTCAATTCACTCTTCGTTGATCAATGACTCTTTTAACAGAATAAAGGGGGGAAAGATGCACTTGACCAACATAAATGTTTGCTCTATCGCGCTACCTACAAGTGATAGCTGCATTGTTGAGCCATCTTTTCAAACCCTTAAAAATTGAAAAGTGAGAAATGGGATACAATTTTGCGATGGAGTCTAATGCCAACTCTTGAAATGAAAGCTCTTCAAGCCTCCTCACTGTTGTTTTGATATTTTTAGCCGTTCAAAAATTATGCACGCGAAGGTATTTGGACTTAAAAAATGGGCACGTCGCCCTCTGAAGATTGGTTCCAAACCCAACCTTAGACTTGGGCCGTCAAGGTCGCGGCCAAGGGCGGCAAATTTTCAGGGGCGACATAAAATTTGCAAAGAGAACGACGAGGGTAGGGCGCTACCTTGAACTTGGTGCCATTGGAAAGGCGACGCGGCAACGTGGTGATTCAATCCCACTTAAATGAAAAAGTACGAAAATTTGCATTTAAAAATGTATTGCGAACGGCATGACCCCACCCCCCTCCCTCCTCTTCCTTTCACCACGGTGACAATTCGTGGGGGCGGAAACATCTTGACGGTCTTGAGGCGAATATCACGTAAACCTGGCCATGCCTCCAAGTTCGAATAGTTGCCTTCTGGATTTCCGCATTCAACGGCGCGGCGATTGGAGTATAATGCCTACATTAATTAACATCTGTAATTTGAGACCAATAAAAAGCTAAGGTTTTCCTTCATTTTCGCGTGATACCACATCACGTACCCAGTTCGGAGCTCCAATAGTTGCGCGCTTGTGCTTGTATTGATCTCCGGAACGCTTATTTTCATGAACGACAGTTTGAGGAAATTGGCTATGATTTCCCTTCATTTCCGCGCGATACCACATCACGCACCTGCTTTGGAGTTCGAACAGCTGCGAGCATTTTTCCGAGGTTTACCATGTTTTTCAACACTGATAAGATCTGAAAATGCAATTTGTACAGTGAAAGTTTGCAGGAATCCGTAATAATTGTTGACCTTAACATTTCGGGGGGGTCTGGGGGGGCGGCGCCCCCTCAGCAGGTAGCTTTTGCTACTTGTTTATATTTCAACCCAGTCACTATCATAGTGAATAGGTTTCGGAATCATCATGAAGGCGAACGTGCCTTGACTTCGGAAAATGGCAACGTTGCTCTGTTAGGGGCTCCCAAAACTAACGACGGATTTGCAGCCCCTCATCACTTATGTGAATTTTCATTGAAAGAAGGGTCATTGCGGGGAGTCGGTGCAAATGTCCTTTCAAGGTCTCTTACGAGCTTGCACAATTACGCGACCCATCAATTTGCGCCCAATATCTTGTGTATTGGCACTCGAAATGTGCACCTTTTTTCTTTCTTTTTCCCCCTTACCCAGCGCGCATAGCAACAATCAAAAGGCTGAGAGTGGGATAAAAATATACCAAACAAAAAATCGCGCTAACAAATTTTTGACGTGGTAATGACTTTAAGAATGCTTCAACACAATGCAGGTGATTTATTCGTCCCTTTGTTGTCAAATCGAATAGAGACCCTCACCGCGGAGTATTTAAAATCGACTAAAATTCCCAGAACAGAAGCCGGCAATATCGGGGACCGGCATCATCCGACTGTAGCAAAAGCACTGGAAAAAACAGCGAGACTCAAAAATTCAGTCGGCCATCTTTGTCTGGCATGACTTTTTGACGAGTCATGCCAGAAATGAAAATCATCTATAGCAGAATCGCTCGAAGCAATGAATTGACAACGGGTATCGTACGCGCAGATCTTCACCAGATCGTTTCAGACCGCTCTCGTCTTAAAATGAACCTGAAAAGTATACAAATCGTGTTATTGGTGTTTACGTTTCTGATCGCAGAAATGAAGGTTGGTAAAGTTTGCCTGTATTACCTAAGTTACTGCCCGCCGTTTTAGAATTTAGCCGTCTTAAGATCCTTTTCCTCGAGGTTTTTCAAATTACCAAGGCTGTTTTGCAGCTACATACTTAAAACTGAGCCGAATATACACTTGTATGCTGCCGTGTTAAGGCAGAAGCCATATGAACACCCGAGAGTTTTCGAATTTCCCTTGATAAAACATGTGTTTTTGACGACACTCATTCATATTTTGTCTTGAAATTTTTAGATATTTAAATTAAATTACGTACAAAATTGTCTGAAAATTTTGGGGGAAAAATACCATTTTCCCAATACATTCGATTTTTATCAAATTAAACTCGGCATAAGTTTGAAGGCTTATACGGCGTTCCTCTCTAGCACAGCAGTATGCATGGGTGCCTTGTGAGTTGTCTAACCAATAGAATCATTCTCAGAAACCTGAATATCATATGTAAACACGAGCCTTTTATTTTTATGACATTCATCATCATTTGATCCGTTCTTCAATCCAAAGTCAAACGCACCCATGCACTGAGAAAATACTTGTGTTTCTGTGTTATTTTTGGTTAACATGGGAAGTGAAACACAAACCAAACTAAATTTTGTGTTGATTTTAGTACGGTTTGCGGTGAATTTAGCGCCGAAAACAATGGAGAGAGTGGGAAACTTTATAAGGCTTTGGTTATTTTGTGTTTTAATTCCCATATTAACACCAAATGCCGGTTACTTTTTCTTACCGTGTAATAATATTAGTACTCGTACTTCGCGCAGCCTTTAATTTGCTGCCCATTGTCCAACTCAAAGCTTCGCTGCCCCCCACTTGAATTCAGCTATTCCGTTCAACCCTACTTTCAATACTCCTCTACCAACTTGCACATTATATACTCAGCGTCATCTTGGTCTTAAGCAATCGCCTCCCGGTCATCAGCAAATTGCAAAGTGAATAAATTCTCCAAATCTCCCAAGAGGATACCCATCCCAGTACATTTGGATCGCATTTAGCAAAACGGAACAAGCGCGATTAAAGTGTTGTAAAAATGTTGCTTCTTCATAATTATCTAAAAGATCTCCCAGAATAGCAAGTAGTTTTTGCCTCCCACTAAAATTTGTTTAATTTTAAAGGGAAATAATCGTGTAAATGTTAATACTGTACTTATGTTAAGTATTTTTTCTTCTTCTTTATTTTCTGTAAGTTGTCTGGGTAACGAGGCTTCATCTTGGTTTTCGTAGCTTGGGTGTTTTCACGTGGTAGGGTTACTAGCCCTACGCGAAACTCTCTTCCTTTTCCTGGGCTTGAGACCAGCTAGAGAAAAACAACTCGCCTCTAGGCGGAGTTAGTAAGTAAGTAATTAATATTAAGTATTTTTAAAAGGAAAGGAGAAGTTGCACGATTTTAAAAAAACTGTAATCGCGCTGGTTCTTTTTTGCCACGTGCGGTCCATTGTTTCTTTCATTCTTTCAGAACGTACTTTTTCTCCCCCCCCCCCCCCCCCCCCCCCCCCCCCCCCCCCCCCCNCCCCCCGCCACCACTCTTAGTCGCCTCCAAAATTATTGCCGATGATCCCAAGATTTGGGGGAAAAAAGGGCGCAAGTATGATTTATCAATAGAATTTTAAACATATCCTGGAATGGGCAATAAACTGCGTTTTTCCACTCTTTGCTTAGCAGAAAAGTACTTGAGAAGAAGCAAGATGCAATAGCATATAAGGTAATGTATCGGTCAATGGCTTAAGTTAAAAAAAATAGGTTCTTTGATTGTGATGTTGCAAATCTTTACCCTTTTTTGTTTCTCTGAAAGTACACCAACTAACAGCAGCTCTCGTTTTGCCACAAAGTTTCTGTTCCTATTTAAAAATTCTCTCAGCGAATTTCAAGGAACTATTTTAGTTTTCTTTCTTTCGAAGAAATCAATAAATATCATAATCGAAGACTTGGGAAATGCTGCAATGAACACCTTTATTTCTTGTATTCTTGCCAGCGATGCGTTACCTTGTCATGCAGATATCATCCTGCGTGGTACCCTGGTACCCTCTACTTTTACGAGTCGCCTCTGTTTGGCTATCCGCCTGGTGCCCACTTTTTGGGGCCCTAACGGAAAATAACCGGGTTCGTTTTTCATCGGAAACATCTCGTACTCGAGAAAAATTTCATACGTCAGAGAGTTCAGAAATCGATTGAGTTCTCCGAAGAGATTCATGGTTTATGGGACATGACACTTTTTCTGAAACACACTGAATATTTCGACCTGGAATTTCGGGTTTTCAACTTGAAATTTGACACTTGGAGTCATGAAAAAAAAAAAAAAAAAATCCCGGTCGAACTGTTGGGTGCGTCTGAGAAAAAAGTGTCATGTCAAACCATGTACCTCTACAGAGAAATCTATTGACTTCTGAAATCTCTGACGTATGAAATTTTACTTGAGTTCGCGGTGTTTTCGATGTAAAATGAACCCGGTGTTATTTTCCGTAAGGGCCCCAGAAAGTGGACGCGAGGCGGATGAGCCAACGAGAGACGCTTCGTAAAAGTAGGTTGTGCCACGCGGCCTGTAACTTTAATTGGACGTATTTCTATTAAACGGACCGAAGCGCCATAGGGTGAGGAAGGTAGATTGAGAGCTTGGATTGGCGGCGGAATCGGGCGTCCGGCTTATTCCGTCCTATACTCGCAATGCTTTTCCATGGCGCTCAGGTCTATTTGACAGAAGGCGCTATCCGGGATTCTAAATTCCTCAAAAGGAACTCAAATTGGCGCTTAGTTCCGTTTGATAGAAATACGTCCAACTGGGGCTCTTGTTTTCTCTGTGCTCCCTCCTTCGGCCCTCGGCACCATTCCTGAGGGGTGGATCTTCTGTGCAGGCCTTGAACCCTCACAACTGGTTGCCTCAAGGCCCACCCCCGCAGATCGGGGAGTTCGCCATGCAGCGGCTCAATTGGATGAGGACCGTGAGAAGACATGCCGAGCGCATGGACAAATGCCCCGAGTCGGCCTTGTGGTGCGAGTGGTTCGCGACCCGAGCCCAAAAGAAAAGGAAGATGGCCGCCGACAGATCCTGTTTCGAGGCCTTCGAGATGATGAAGGAGTTCCTCAATAGCCGTCAACTGGGCGAGTGCGCCGCAGTCGTCGACGCCTGGTGCCGATGGCATGACGGCCTTTATCAGTGCACCGCCGTTGCTGGCAACCAGATATTCTCCATCCACGACTGCTTTAACCAGCTCCCTTAAGAACAACCTGGATCAGTTTTAGACGGAGGCTAAAGGATACATTTCCTCTTTTACCCGAAAAACTACGTTTCACGATTTTGTTCTATTCTTCTCTTTTTTTATCGATGTATATTTTTGGCTGCCAAATTTGAAAATGGCCTTGGTTTTTTTCCTATTGGATTTTCTCCGAAAATTCTGTTTGTGAGGAAAATCAGTGGGTGTGTATGAGAAAGAACCATCACTGAGGCCATTTTTGGACGCAGCGCTAAAAATTACTCACAACTCAATTTTTCCACAAATATATACCAATAAGGATCTTAAAGTTGCCACACTTGTATTATTTCGCTTAAATAACTATTATTTGGTCAAAATTGCCCAAAATAAAACCTTTGATCGTGTTTCTCCAAATTTTTACCACGAGAATCGATTACCAATGAAAAATCACCGTCGGTAGAGTCAGTTACAAAAAGTGTGAAGACCCTCCAGTCTTGTTTTACGTCAATTACAGCGGAAACCCCTGCTAAAATTTTTCAAGAATTTCTTAGAATTTTCAAGGAAATAATGCCCCACAACACGTTCCAATCGCTTATCGAATCTAATTGTATTGTACTAACACCATTTTGCAATATTTCAAGACTGACTGTCTTGCATTTTCGAAAACAAAGTTTTCCCTAACTTCCCTAAGCCTTCCGGTCTATTTGTAGCGTCCCTGAAAAATGACGCTTGGGCGTAGCTGGCGATATTTACCAGAGGCCACTGTGTGCGGGCTTTATCGCTCCGTGGTCAAAGTAAGAGACTTTAACGAATACAGTAACCGCGCTGACTGCTATAGCTAGGCCCGCCACATCCCATCTCGGGCCCTGCTACCAGTTTTAAGGTCCGGGCCCCAAGCCTCGAGGGGCATCCCCCGAGAAATTTTAGAATTTATACGACTAATCGGACGACGAGATAGCCTCCATGCACACTGGGCTTGTCGATTTCCTCTGAAATTTTTGCAGCGGTGAATGCATAGCTGAAGTGCGCTTTAGCTAGCATTGTATTTACAAATGGGTGGTTTTTCTACGAGGATCAAAAATAAACAAGTGGCACGGAATATAACAAAAGAATATGAACTATGCAAAACGATAATCCGGGTATCGGAACTTGGCTGTTTTGAAAACGCCTTCAAATGCGGCGTGATACCTCACGCATTCCGGAGAGTTCAAATAGTTGTATCATTGCGCCGTAAGAATGTGACGGAAGATTTAAATGGAAATAGCCTCCATGCACGCTGATGCGGGCGTGTCGATTTCCTTTGACATTTTTGCAGTGGTGAAAAGATGATAATTTCCAGAAATATTGATCATAATTAATATGTATCTGTTTGATACTGAATTCTTTAATTTCAAATCACGACAGTAAAACAAATGTGAGGGTATCAATAGGGTGGGGGAGAGTTCAAATAGTTGTATCATTGCGCCGTATGAATGTGACTGAAGATTTAAATGGAAATAGCCTTCACTATAGCGACGTATCACCGCGCGACACTTCACCGCGGCGACCTTTAACACCGTGGACCCTTTTCACCACGCGATATTTCACCGCCAGTGATAATTTCTGAGGCCAAACTTTTCCTTCACACTTTTTCCGGCTTAGGACTGGCCAAATGGATGGATGGATTCTGATACAAGTTTCCTGAGATTTATTAGGGAGCAGAACATGAACGAGGGGCAAGGCAGTAGAATACTGAACGCTATGAATCGTGTTTAACTGCTCAAACAACATGAGCGATGTCTCAAAAGTCCCGTATGCAAAAATATGATCTGTTTCAGCTAAGATTTTTAAATTTTCTTCCGTGGTGAAAATTAAAATTCCTCTCGGCCCTGCACCGCTGTCGTAAAATAAAAAGGGTTTCCTTTCACCTGTTTCTGTGAACTCAGGAGGAATGATCAGTTCTTCTAAGCTCGCAGGATTCGCTGGCGCTACCTCTGATTTAACTCGCGTTCTTCGAATTTTCCGTTTGAGAGACTTCATCCTCGGCATATCTCCTATCATTTCAGGAGTTACAGACGTGGAAAATATGGCTACAATAGCCTATGGAGAATCTCCTGTTTCACTTGAACTTTTTTTTATTTCCGCAACTACTTCTTTAACTCGCGGTTTCCCTGCATTGGGCACGTGATTATGTTCTCCATATGTTTTAAGATGCCTCACCCAATTCAACAGGACGTTATGCCTTAAGATCCAGTTTAGCAATACGCGCGGTGAAATGTCGCGCGGTTAATTGTCGTATATCGCGCTGACTAACGCCGTGAGTGGTTTAAAAATAGTAACAGTAACAAAAAAATTTTGGCAAAATGTGTGCGATTGTCCTACTTACGTGAATTGCGCATCATGATAACTCACGTGATCGGTAGATGATGTTCTGCAAAGCCTGTCAAGTTTTTCCACTAACCCATCCGTCCTAGAATTCTTACTTTCTCGCTCCCCTAGTTTTTTATCTCGGCTCGCAAGAGGAGGATAATGTTTTCAAAGGGTACGAAGAAATTTTTTGCATGTATGAAATAGGGCAAAAAATTAGCAAAAAAAGCACACGATGACTTATTTTTAACCTCATGGGTTGGTTGCAAAAATCAGCCAGAGCCAAAGAAAAATTACTACTCGGTGGAAAATCCCCCAAAAAATTACGATGAGCGCATTGACAAAGTGTATGACATTAATTTCGTACCTTCGAATTTCAGTGAAAAGTTCCGTTCGAGATTACTTGACTTGTACAGTGGCATAATTTTATTTTTTCTACAACGTTGTATTTAGTTATGAATATCGGCGTTTTAGACCTTTTGGTACCATTGGAGACTCAAAGTTAATTTTTCGACCTCTCAATTGACTCCTCGCAGGTTTTTTCCTTTTTTTCTTAATGAAGGGAGCATTTCTGCAGCATCATCTGCTATTCTTGCTAGTTTTGTCGCGGCAGCACTGGCGGTTTTCCATTATAATGTAATTTGAGCAGTCGGTATTTATCGTGGAAGATTTGGACTACATTTTGCAATTCGGAACTATAATTTCTGGCTTATCTGTAAAAACACGTATGTGCATAAGGAAACTGATGGTACATACGTTGTTTCTAAACTGAGCCAGAAATTATAGTTCCTAATTGCAAAATGTAGTCCATTTGTTCAGCTAGAATCGATGATTCATAATGGATTTAAATGGAGGTGAAGCAATGATGCCACTTGACGAAACGCTCAATTAGACAGTTGGACGTATTTCTATCGAACGGAACTATGTGCATCGTAACGTGAGCCCTGTTATGCACATATTCTTATGGGTCTCAGGGCTCATGTCTTAATGCACGTAGTTCCGTTTGATAGAAATACGTCCAGTTGTGAAACGGCGAACCCGGGCAGTGGTGAAGTGTGAATGATCGACTATCGATATTTCCTCGTTTGAAAGTATGGTACAAAGAATCGATTATTAAGGTGTTCGCTCCGAACACACTGTTTATCGGTCCTTTTCCGTAGGTTTAAGTGATAGATCGATCGATATATCGCAAGGCACGCCACGCCACTGAATTCGGGAAACTTGTTACGATGAAAGTTAGTGCGGGTGGAAGAATTATTCTCAATAACTGCCGCCGAAGTTGTATTATACGCCTCGAAAGTAGGCAGTTTTGTTTTGGGGTTGTTTGTTATTATCACACCCCACCCAGTCTAGTTATTAAATTATTTAGCACACGAGCTCTGCATATCTATCCTCGATTTTGCGAGTCGGCCAAAGTTTTTCTCCTAGGTTTATGAGTTTTTGCAGCGTTGTCTTTCGCATTTATATTTGGACTACGTGCGTTTAGCAGAAAGGGACCAAGCCACATCAGCTATTGCCAAATTTAACGGATTAATTTAATTTTTTACGAGATAATGTCAAGTGTGGATTCCTTTGAAAATGTTAAGGATTTTGCATCGTACAACGCAGAAAATTCACTGAAATTTGCACTAAAATCCGTACAACCGTTTTCTTGTAAAATATTAAATTGCCTACTCAAAGAATGTAAATACGAATTTCACCTCCAAAAATCGCATTCATCTGGTAAACTAGGCATTTGTAACGTCGAGCATAGTGCAGCAGTTGCCAAATCTCGCACAAACTGTTAAAAATCGGATTTTTGCACGATTTGGAAACTTTTGAGAGATAATTTTTCAAAATATGGTTCTAATTCGAATACAGCATAAAAAGCACATTAGGAACACTTTCAAGTGGGTTCTATTAATATTGCAGCACCTCATTAAAGCATCTCCTAGATTCTGGATAAATTTAATGGTATTTCGTCATTGCAAGTGGTGCTTCGTTCTCTTTCCAGTGGTGAGGCGTGAATGATCGACTATCCATATTTCTCAATTTGAAACTATGGTAAAAAATCAATTATTAAGGTGTTCGTTGCGAAGACTCTGTTCATCAATCCTTTTCCATAGGTTCTAATGCCAGATCAATGGATGTATCGTAAATCTCGCCACGCCACTGATTGTAAAGGAAATAAAACTCATAAAGAGCGAATTTAGAAAAAAAGTTAGCAGAGTGAATTTCACTGAGACAATAAGCACCATTGGCCATGACGTAGTGTCAACCTGTGTTGATGGTGAAACTGCAGAAATGCGTATATCGGTCGCGCTGCTTCGCAATCCCCGCTCCTTTTTTTATTTTTTTAGAGGAGACCAAACGAACATCATGGCTTGAAGTTTTCACAAATTATTCCTCTTAAACGGAAGAAAAATCACTGAAACTTTAAAAAAAATGACTCTCAGTATTTTTCCATGTAGAAAATGAAGTATGGCAGGAAGTCTGCAACGACGCAAACGGATGGAATTAATCAATTAGATTTTTAAGATATTAGTTTTCTTTCTTGAAAATTTAAGCATGTTTGAAAAAATCGCAGTTTTACCCACAGTGTTTCGGTTCATTACTCCAGCATTCCTGCGATCCATTTCATGCGAAATCGATTCTCGCAACTACACGCGATGGATGTTGAACTTATAAATCGTCAATTTGTGTGTTGGGGGCAGGGTCGTACTGGCTCGCATCTGAGGGCATAGACCCTTGGCTGGTTAAAGAGATATCTCCTGAGTGATCCCGTATCTCTCTCAGTGATATCTCCTGGTAGGACATCCCCTACGTGGAGAGGGGGCTCCGAAAGTTTTGGCAAAGCAGCACAGGTTTACGCTATTTTCAGGTTCGAAGTTTATTAATAGTAAAAAGTGCAAAATTGAACGTATTGAAGTAACCGACAGACTTTTCAAATTACAGAAAACGTAAACAATTAAAACCAGTAGACGCATCCAAGCACCATTATTC